AATCAATCCAATGTTGGCATTTCATCATCAGTAAAAATCCTATATATTTCATCTGTACGAGGAGCTTAATTCTAAAAAGAATAGGTTGATCCTCTCACCTCTGGTATATACATGTGGTCTTCGTTAATGAATATTTGATGCACTAATTTCGTTAAGACTTGCTTTATTGAGTTGGCCTAAATCTGATTGTTTGTGTTTGTGCACTACTCAAGAAAATTCTATAAAATGGTCAGACCTTTTAGTTTGCTTCTATTATTTTTCCTCTGGATTTCCATTTATTAAGTACTTTTTAGTTTGCTTCTTTAATTTATACTCAAGATTTCTATCTATTAAGCACTTGTTCCTTTTCAGGTTTCATCAAGTCTTTCAAGATTTGATTGATTTTGTTCTACCAATGAGCTGGGAAATATAGAAAAAATAACTTCTTATCAACCCTCCGGCTTGTCATTTATGTAATTAGTAAGTAGAAACTTTGGATCTTTTATTGAGACTCTTGGGGTCAAAGATACACAAATGCTCATATTCTATGAGATTCTTTCGTCCTGATTCAATGGAACCCTCCTTGGCGATGAGTAACTTTAGCTTGTTGAATCAGAACCAGATCATCTTTCCTCAGTCTCTCATTGATATGTTTTCTCGCACATATCTAATGTGCCATGTGATTAGAAAATTATACGCCTTTGGTAATCTAGACCGGGAAAAAGATCGAACGAGCTTATTTTTGCAAAAGAAAATATAAAGATTAAAGCAGACATATTCTACTATTTTGAATGAATTATTGTCTCTTTTACATATCCAGTATTTTTGAGGTGTACTTGATTGTTGCTTATGCTATGATTAGTACTTGTGTTAGACAAGAATAATGCTAACAAGTATCACTGGTGCGATTAGGGGTATAAGCTGTTCGATTTTACCGATTTTTGACAGATTTTCAAACCAAACCGTTTAAAATGGTTTGAGAAAAACTCAAACCTAAACCAAACCATTTTGAACGGCTTGAAAAAAATTCAAACCTAAACTTAACGGTTTGGTCCGATTTTAAAACGTCAGTTTCACCATATATTTTTTTGCCCGCCTACTTTTATGTTATTAATTCATTGAATTCAATATATATTTATAGCTTACTAGTAATAAATTTAGAACAAACTCAACCCCTGTTTGAACCAAATTTTTGGGATAAAAATGAAAATTTGGACCATTATCCTACAAGTTCAGCCGCCTTTGTTGACCTACTGTTTCATGTGTGAGACCCAGCCTCCTCTCCAACAGCCAATTTTCTCATTATGATGATATGGAAAATATGGCTCAAACATGAGCTAAATATATCTACTATAAATTTAAATACCAACTAAATCAAAGTGAAATCACAATAAACTAAAACATAGTTTTTTTCACCTTTTTAGGCTAATAACGATACAATAACGTTACAATAAAAGTCTATAAAATTATATATAAGGCCCAAAAAATATAATGATGTCCAACAAGATCTCGTAATCATCATATCTGAAAAAAATGATACTAATTAAATAAAGTGAATAACCACCCACAATAATAAAGCAATTGTTTATAATATCAATATAACAATTACACAAGTTTACGTTTGTAAGATGTTACGAAATGCATTTAATTTCAGATTCTTACCTTAATTTGCTCCAAAAAAATTATTGATCTAAAACTTTATTCGTAACAAATATTATCACCGAAGGTTTAGAATCTCTTTGTCTCCGATTTGGTATAATGAACTTCAATTCAACTTTGAAGAGACGTGAAAAAGAAGTGTGTGGTGACGGTGGCTCATGACTATGTTGGGAGTCGACTGTAGTTCATCTAAATTTTGAAGAGGAAAAAGGCTTTTGATAAATTATGTTAGTCTTGAAATTATTAGATATATATTAGGATTATTGGATAATAATAATAATAATATATCTGTATTAGAAAATTAGAAATTGACAAAAATAATTACAAATGACAAAACTATTGAATTTTACATATTTGGATGAATTTTCAAAAAATTTCATTTTTTCATTTTTTTAATTTTTACATATTTTTTCGCCAGTCCGATTTGGTTTTAAACCGCAATTAAAATTCTCAAACCTAAACCACACCATTTTGACCTGTTTGGTTTGGGTCAAAACCATTTCGTTGACCGGGTCCACGTGACACCAAATCGACGGTTTCTAAAATGTGGGTTCGGTTCAATTTTTCGATTTTTGCTTACAGCCCTAGGTGTGATGACACCAGTTTAGGTGACATTCAGTGATAGGCTAAATTAAAGGTAGAATAAGTGATTCATTTGGTTATACCTCTCATTTTATGTCACGGTAATGTCATCTAGATTGGTCTTTTAACATCATTGATGCTAAATAAAATTACTCGTTAAATAATTGGTGGGAGACAGCCAATGAGCCAAATGTCATCAAATGGTATCTATTTTATTTCCTTTTTTGGGTTTTCGTAGCAGATATCTACTTTCTCTCTGAAATTAGAAAACCTTTTCATAATTCATTGCAGAATTTTCTTGGACATACTTTCACGAAATAATGAAGTGTGGTTCTTTCAGAGGCGCAAGGGCCGTTTTTGTTGATTTCTCTGCCCGTCAACCTATATTTTAAGCACTTGTTCCTTTTCAGGTTTCATCAAGTCTTTCAAGATTTGATTGATTTTGTTCTACCAATGAGCTGGGAAATATAGACAAAATAACTTCTAATCAACCCTCCGGCCAGTCATTTATGTAATTAGTAAGTAGAAACTTTGGATCTTTTATTGAGACTCTTGGGGTCAAAGATACACAAATGCTCATATTCTATGAGATTCTTTCGTCTTGATTCAATGGAACCCTCCTTGGCGATGAGTAACTTCAGCTTGTTGAATCAGAACCAGATCATCTTTCTTCAGTCTCTCATCGATCTGTTTTCTCGCAGATATCTAATGTGCCATGTTATGAGAAAATTATACGCCTTTGGTAATCTAGACCGGGAAAAAGATCGAACGAGCATATTTTTGCAAAAGAAAATATAAAGATCAAAGCAGACTTATTCTGCTATTTTGAATGAATTATTGTCTCTTTTACATATCCAATTTTTTTGAGGTGTACTCGATTGTTGCTTATGCTATTATTAGTACTTGTGTTAGACAAGAATAATGCTAACAAGTATCACTGGTGCGATGACACCAGTTTAGGTGACGTTCAGTGATAGGCTAAATTAAAGGTAGAATAAGTGATTCATTTGGTTATACCTCTCATTTTATGTCACGGTAATGTCATCTAGATTGGTCTTTTAACACCATTGGTGCTAAATAAAATTACTCGTTAAATAATTGGTGGGAGACAGCCAATGAGCCAAATGTCATCAAATGGTATCTATTTTATTTCCTTTTTTGGGTTTTCGTAGCAGATATCTACTTTCTCTCTGAAATTAGAAAACCTTATCATAATTCATTGCAGAATTTTCTTGGACATACTTTCACGAAATAATGAAGTGTGGTTCTTTCAGAGGCGCAAGGGCCGTTTTGTTGATTTCTCTGCCCGTCAACCTATATTGCATTCATTTTTATCCATATCCCTTGTTAACATCGACTTAGAGACGTAACGTTTTTAACCCTCCTTTTTTTTTTTTTTTTTTTACACGTTTAAATTTAATTTTTATTATTTTTTATTTTTTTAAATAAATTTGACACATGAACAGTTTGAAATATGCGACAATGAAACCTGAATATCATATAATATTTGTAAGAGCATCTCAATAATCAAAGATTTCAAGAGTTGGAACGTAAAGAACTTGGATTAAGTGCTTTTTCAAAAGTTGTTTAATTAACCTCATATTTTTTATTTTAAAGAGTCTCTTAATTTTTTTAAAAGTCTGACAAACTCTATTCTAAAATATAAATAAAGAGTCGATACGAAAAAAGGTAAATTCGCTCTTTAATACTTTTAGTGCTTTCTTTTATTCTTTTCCAAGTTTCCGTCATCTCTTTCGAAATAGAGTTAAATAACAAAACGAAAACGAGAAAAAAAAATACTCTTTAGTTGTAATTATTATTGAAAATGCTCTACATTTTAAAAAGATTCTCTTTTAACCAAAGACAATTATTGAAATGCTCTTATCGGTGTAATTTGAATCAACAATGTACAAAAATAATTAGATTTTTGAAAATCTCTTTATGGATTGAAATAATAGAATTAAAAAAGTCAAATCTAGGGATGGCAACAAGTTAGGGACGATCATAACAATACCTGTCCCCCTTGGGAATTTTTGGAAGTCGGGGACGAAAGTCGAAAGATGCCACTTATGAAAAAATTTCTGCCTCGTTTATAATTCAAAGTGGAGCATGTAAGGTAAGGTCGATGTAAAATTTTGCAATTCTTGATCGAGTCAATTGTAATTTCTAATACACAAAGTGATAGGATTAGCTGATTTTGGATGGTGACCTATAATGAACTACTCATGATCTAGGGATGGCAACAAGTTAGGGACGATCATAACAATACCTGTCCCCCTTGGGAATTTTTGGAAGTCGGGGACGAAAGTCGAAAGATGCCACTTATGAAAAAATTTCTTCCTCGTTTATAAATCAAAGTGGAGCAATGTAAGGTAAAGTCGATGTAAAATTTTGCAATTCTTGATCCAGTCAATTGTAATTTCTAATACACAAAGTGATAGGATTAGCTGATTTTGGATGGTGATCTATAATGAACTACTCATTTATCGACACGTCCTGCCATCCAATTTTAGAGGAAGCTACTAGTGAAGTCATATTCTCCTGATTAAATTTGGAGGAGTTGTTAACCATATGAAAATTCTCCATTTTTGATGGAAACACAATCTTTGTGTTTGTGATTTTGGTTTTGAGGCAATCTTGGCACTGAGTTTTGTAATTAATTCTCGAAAAATGGATATAAACTCCCCCCCCCCCTCCTTCTCTTTTTCCAAATATTTTTCGCCTGTAATTTATAATATATAATTGAACCCTCAAATTCAATACTTCGATTTCTAATTAAAGTAAGAAGAAAATGTGAGTAGTTGAGAACTTGTACATAGTTCACCTACTCTTCCTGAATTGGTGCACTATTCCATCTGCATGCTACTTCTGTATATAAATCATAGGGAAAAGGATAATTAGACATAATTAGAGCTTGGAAAAATTCGAATACAAGATTAAGAGAAGGCATGATGGAGAAAGATATCGAAGAGCCAAGAGTTTGTGTTGTTGATGCTTCAACTTATGTTGGATTTTGGATACTCAAGAAACTACTCATCAAAGGATATAGAGTTCATGCAGCTATCCAAAAGAACGGTAAATTATGTCTCTCTTTTTTTCAAGAACGTACATAGAGGTGTTAAAATATGTCAAAACGATACATTTATAAACACTCGGGCCGAATCTCCTGTCCCCAGTCAGGAGGATAAAAAATTCCCATTGCTGATGTGAAATCCGTAAGTATGGTTTTCTATCGTATAAGTAAGGTTCTCTTGTCACGTCAGCAGTGAAAAGTTTTTATTCGAGCCTAATTTCTTACAAAAGCCCCTTTTGTTTGCAAGATTGGATAGAATGTAAATATCAAATAGCTTGATTGACTTATGTTGGATTTTGGATACTCAAGAAACTACTCATCAAAGGATATAGAGTTCATGCAGCTATCCAAAAGAACGGTAAATTACGTCTCTCTTTTTTCAAGAACGTACATAGAGGTGTTAAAATATGTCAAAACTATACATTTATAGACACTCGGGCCGAATCTCTTGTCCCCAGTCAGGAGGATAAAAAATTCCCATTGGACGTGAAATCCATAAGTATGGTTTTCTGTCGTATAAGTAAGGTTCTCTTGTCACGTCAGCAGTGAAAAGTTTTTATTCGAGCCTAATTTCTTACAAAAGCCCCTTTTGTTTGCAAGATTGGATAGAATGTAAATATCAAATAGCTTGATTTTTTGTATTTTTTGGTATAGGGGAGAAAGAGATAATCAAGAAAATAACAGACTTACAGAAGACAGAGAAAGGATTAACTACATTTACAGTGGATATGTTGGATTATCATAGCATTCTTGAAGCAGTGAAGGGCTGTTGTGCTTTGTTCTGCTGTTTGGATAGCCCATTTCAATATGAAGTAAAGTTCTACATCTTTTCAACAACTTAAGTAGTTTGTTTGAGTTTATAATTTGGTAATATTTGCAGGAGAAAATGGTGGATATGGAGGTTAGAGGCGCCATTAACGTGGTGGAGGCATGTGCACAGACAGACAGTATAGAGAAGATTGTGTTTACTTCATCTTTAACTGCAGCAGTATGGGGACAAAATATAAGTTCGGATCACAAGGATGTCGATGAAAGGTCTTGGAGTGATCAAGATTTTTGCAGGAAAATGAAGGTTCGATTTTATTCTTTTTATCTTGTTAATATATTAAGAAAACTATAGTGATGACTGTTAAGGGATAAATCTCATGACGAATAAAGATGAAAATTTGGATTACTTCTCTTAATAAAGTTGACATTTTAAAATGAAACATCAAGTCATAACACGGTATGTCCATTAGAGCTCATTAAACTCTAACGAGCAATTCGATCCAATTAAGACTCGAGAAAATGAGCACACTGTTTTCAAAATTGGTTTGTACAAACAAGTCACCATGGCATGTTAAGGAATAAGTTCCACAACAAATAAAGATGAAAACATAAACCGATGTATAAGGGTTTGGATTGCTCTTCTTAATAAGATTGACCTTTTAAAATGGAACTCCAAGTTTTAACAATGACTTACTTTCTTGAATTACACTACACAGCTGTGGTATGGTTTAGCAAAGACACTTTCTGAGAAGGCTGCTTGGGCTTTAGCCATGGACCGCATGCTTGACATGGTTTCAATCAACCCTGGTCTAGTTATTGGTCCTGCTGTTGCTCAACAAAATTCACAAGTAACAATGTCATATCTTCAAGGTAAAATGCTGTTTTCTATATTGGTCAATCAATAGAGAGAAAAGGGTTAACTAGTATGTGAATTATGGTGAACAGGTGGAGAACAAATGTCTGTGAATGGAGTTCTGGCCTTTGTTGATGTAAATTTTCTAGCCGATGTTCATATTCGAGCTTTCGAAGATAGATCAACAATTGGCAGATATTTCTGCTTCAATCAAATTGTGAACTCAGATAAAGAAGCTCTAAAACTCGCGCAAAGCTTGACTCCTTTAATTTCCATACCATCCAGGTATAGCTCGCTCGCTTGTGTATGTATGTATATATTAAAATAGATATCTGTTACATGTACAAACAGTTTTACATATAGGTTGACAGATGAAAAAGAAGAAACAATTTCTGTCTAACTGGTTTTTCAATTTCTGTCAAATTGTTTTTACTTTTTTTTTCATTTGTCAACCTATCTGTCAAAGGAGGTGTACAAATAGCAAAACTCGTTAACATAATATTATTTTTGGTGTGTTATGCAGCTATAATTTGGAAGAGAGTGAAGTATATGTTGAGAGATTAAGGAGCACAAAACTTGGCAAGTTGGTTGAAGGCGCTGCCTATTAGCATTTTATTGTCAATTTGAGGACTTGGTATATTTATGATGGCAGTTCTCCAAATCTTGATATTCCCATTTAGTGATTTGAATCTTGTACTCAAACTGAAATTAATTACTGATGTAATAAAGCATCCCCATTTCTTGGTGAAAATTAGAGTTCCTTAATAAAAAGTCGAGAGAGTAGGGGATCGATCCAAACAGACGTGACATGAACAAGCGTCGAAGGCTGAACAATTTTCCCTGTAGACTCTTCTATCAGCTCTTAAAGTTGAAAAAGTATAAATATTTAGCAAAAGAGTGCTATTTTTTTCCCAACAGAAGTGACCTATATATTAGGAAAAATGGGTTGGTAGTTGGTTAACTACTTTCTCCCATTTTGGCGAGTTACATAACAAGGATCAGTCTCAGTTTGAATTAAGTTTGAATTATTTTAGCTCACGTTATTGTGGACTCTGGAAATAAATGTTATCAGAATGTCCTGCAAATTCTTTGTTCTTCCAAAATAAACATTTCTTCTGAATAGTAGTATCCTTTACAAATACTAAAATCTACAGAAACAGAGTCAGGATTAGTTCAAATTTTGTGTGTGTGTGTTTTTTTTAACGAACTACTCAATCAACAAAACTAAGTGTTTAATGTTCTGAGATGAAAAATTAAAGCCAAATCGCATTAATTTCTGGATAAATAAACCTCGTGGTGAAGGTCAATTCTTCGTATAGCAACATATGATATTCTCTGGTTAGTGTTTGCCTGCAGTACCTACATCCAGGCTCCACAACAGTTGAGTGGGTGCAATGGAACCAGACATTTTTTGGGTTGGGGTCCGGGTTGGGGTCCAGGTGGTGAGACGGAAACAGTGACTTCTGATATGTCTCCTATTTATTATGCCCAAAAATGAAGTAATAAGAGCAAAACCAATTCAACATTCATGTGACTACCCTGCAAAAATATGTCGAAAGCCCTCTGAATGACAACAGTCACTAGCCATAATATCTATACTTCACCCACTACCTCCCTTCTGCTTTTCACAGCATATCCACAACTTCCTCTTTGACGCTTCAGCGACTGCTTCATGGCACTTAAATTAAGCTCAAACCAGAAGGCTGGTCCTGACTTAAGCAAGGCTTAGATTCTTGCTCGATGAAAGGATTCCCCAAGGGATTCGTAGAATCATGACCAACCGTTGATTGTTCTTGCAGCTGTTGATGCTTGAATGCTTCTTCTTGATGAGGAATTACAGCCATCCGATGTGCATAACTTTGTTGTTGATCTTGTTGCTGCATGAGATCTTGTTGTTGGAGCATTGCAGTCATCTGCATGTAATTCATCTGCTGATAATATTGCTGCATAAATTCTTCTTGTTGCCGGGACATTTCATTCATCTGTGCATAATTTGACTGTTGGTGTTGATACTGTAGGGCTCCGCCTTCTTGTTGGGGCATTTCCATCAACTGCAGATAATGCTGCTGAGCTATACTATCATCCTCAAAAGGATTCGATGAGACCATACCCATATGATAGGTTCCATTTGGATTTGTTTTTGTCAATGCAATATCATATAAACTATCCAGTGTTAATCTATCCAGTCCAACTCCCTGGTTTTATATAATTGTATAGAGAAAGAAAAGAAGCAACTTTTCAGGATATATTTAAAGGATGGTGCAAGCAAATCCAAATGACACATATGTAAAGGAAATTATGGATCACGGATGAGTATTAGTAAAGCATCTATAAAATTTAGCTCAATTCCTTACAGAACTGATGTATTATGAGATGAGAAAGTTGGGTACTATGTTGCCCGGAAATTTCAAAATTGTGAAATCCTTGTAGGACATGATACTCTTAAGACATGCAGCTCAACCCAATAGAAGTTGGTCGAGTAAAAATATTGTAGTCTCATGACTATAATTGGATGCATGTATCTTCTGCTAAATAACAGCTGCATAAAATGTAAGGAATGTGCTCATATAAGACTTCTAACTTGAAGACATTAAAGATTGAATTTTTTGCAACAGAGCATCACAGAAAACTAGCTATAAAAATACATGCTCAAGTCAATGCAAGTTTTTTTCTTATGGGGAAGACATACCCGTTTAGTCGCTGTTACAGCTGCAGAATTAGAACCTGGTGCCATAGTGAGTGCAAGCTCCCAGTCAGTAGGCTCTCGAGAGAGATCAGAGCTGATTGCAGGATTGGACAGCTTTTCTACACATAATTGCAAAAGTAAATTACATACCTGAACACTTCACAAGTGATGTTAGTTGTTAATAATAGAAACAAGATTCACCAGTTGCAACAGTCGAAAGGGCAAGGGAATTGTTATCATCCGGCTCAGATGCTTCTTGACATGGGTCATCCCAGCTCTAACAATAAAGAGAAATTTGATGAGTAACTTACAAGGCTTTCATCCGTATTTTATTCTAAAGGATTCCATGAATAAGGAAAACACTACCAATAGATCAGGAATCAAAGGTGTATCTGCAGCTTCACTCTTATCAGTCTTTGGAATCTTTGGAGAATCGACAGATGGGTGAGATTCTTCAGTGTCAATGAAAAGTTTACGATCGGTCTCCAAATCAGCTGCAGGAACAGCAATTTCTTTCGGAGTAGTGCTTTTATCGTCATCATTCTGAACCCCAAGGAAACATATAAGCTATGCTAGAGATGTTTCACACTCACATCGACAACGGTAATTCATTGGTTGCTAATGTTTCCAGGCTTTGTCTAAAAAAGTTCTACCATATTTATTTCAGAAGCAGTTCAAGCTTTTACACCGTATTTGGAAAACAAAATGATGGAAAAAAGAAATTACTTATTGTAAGTATTTACAGGCTTTGCCTAAATTCACAACATTTACGTACCGTTCTCCAGGGAAGCATCAAAGGTGTGGGGCTTCCATTACATATTCTTCCATGGCTTTTATAAATGATGCAGGTGGCTGAAGTTTGATATCCAAGTAAAGAATGATGCGACAAAACAAAAAAAATACCGTGGTTAAAAAACACTCTAGGATTTGAAGAAACAAATAAGTGGTTTAGTACCTGCTCAATTTTGACGTATTTCTGCCCTCGTCCAAAGTCAAGGCCCCTACAGATGTCAAAGAACTCAGACAGCCTATCCGCCTACAGGAATGTGTCCCACATTATGCAAGGCATATAGTATGAAATTTAGTCTACATGGACATTAGAAAGAAAGACACGAGAGTCGAGACATACCTGATCCCCAGACTTCCTATAAATTTCAAGCGCTTTGACAGCATCATGACGATGCATCTCAAAGAACTGTTGAACGACACAAGTCAGTAATTCTTTAAGTATCTGTACTTTATTGGAATATACAAAACTAATTAGTACCTTGTCGACCAAATTAAGAACTCCATCAGTAATTGCTACATAAAGCCTAACACTTTCAGCCGCAACCTGAGAAGATCATCAGCAAGAATAAATTCGAATCAAATGAAGTTCTCTCTAGAGGAAAAAAGTCATAAGTGATTACATACAATTGATAGTGCATACTGGATCAAGAAATTATATCGAGCTACTCCAACTGGCTGTACAATGGCACATGGCCAACATTCACCAAAGAAATAAAACTTTTATGTTAACTCACTTGAACAAATGAGTAGTGGAAATAAGTAGACGTTAATATAAATATATTAATAAGTGGTCAAGAAATCGACGATTCAATACCTGGCAAGCAAGAAGGCGAAAAAGAAGTCGTTGCAAAGAAGGTAACTGCTCAAGCAAATCTGGTGTGTCAAGCCTCTTTGTTTTCTGTACAGAACAGATTGTTACCACATAGTAAAGAAGTTGAATGATACCCGATAACCCATTCACTGTTCATGAATAGTAAGGGGAATGTGTTTTGAAATAGAGTTTTTTTTTTATTTTTTTCGGGAAAATGTGAGGTTAAAAACGAAGAAAACGTTTTGAGTTTACATGTAAAATTATTTTATAGGAGAATGTGTGATTGAAAATGAGTTTTTAAAAAAAATGGAGCCCAAACATAGGCATAATACTACAAGAATAATGTGACTTTCATTCATGAATCAATAATGTTATGGTATTCCAAATTATTTTCAACCACAATTAGAAAATTTAGGCATAAGCATATGCATGTCTGTCCATAATTTGTGTGGGATACCTTTTTGATTACTAATTTAAGTGATGTACAATTTATGGATCTTACAAATTGGCTTCTTTAATTCTAAACTAAAAACAGAACAAGTAAGAGGAAGAGGAAGAAAATGAAAAAAATTTGAAAAAGTTGGTTGATGATTGCTTGTACAAGCTCACAAAAATATAGAAGATTAAGTAAAAAAACAACATACAACTAAATTTTTTGCATTCAACGTCATAATCCTGAGGAATAATTAGATTCACCACCAATACATCCAATTTACTACATAGCAGAATGAAATTCGAAGAAAAAGGTAAGGAGGGAAAAAAGTGAAACCATTGCCTTGATAGATTTGAACTCAAAAAAATAAAAATAAAAAATATAAAAATCTTACCGTATAAATTAGAATAAATATCATAATACAATAGTTGCATTCCAAGATGAATTAATTACATACCGAGTGATCTCTTTGGAAATCATATTTCAGTATGCGGAAACATTCCAGACGTTCCTCGAGATATAAAGCATATATACGTATCCAAGAAGAATACTGATAGGTACCACCCAGAGTGCTGTAGACTTTAATGGGAAAAACAAGGAAATCGACTGTGAAAGGAGATTTGTATTAATGGAAAAATTCCAATTACAGAAAGAAAGAAACAGAACCGGATTAAAGATGACCGTTAGAGGTCGTATGACATCCACTCTTACTTAAATATTCTTTTTGCATGCCTATCTCTTCCCAACCCTTTTCTGTTTATAGACTACTACTAACCGAATTGCCTCCTCACTCTTTACTCCTAACAGAATTTGTTATTTGTTACTGCCCCTCCCCCCTCTTCTCCATTCTTCTAGAATAGGTATGCTTAATTGGGGGCTTATCAATTCCCCCCCCCCCCCCAATTCAGCCACCTTGTCCTCAAGGTGGAAGGTAGGAAATTGATGAGCAATGAGACTGTGAGGTTTTCAGGTTGCTTCTAGTGGAGATAATCCTTTCCACTGAATCAACACTTCCAAGCCTTCCTTCGCTGTCCTTACGCCAATGACAGTTTCTGGTTCCACTAGCAATTCCCAGTCAGCCCCCAGATTGTGAGGTAAAGGAGATGTCAGCTGATGTTGCCCCATAGCCTTTCTTAGTTGTGAAACATGAAACACCGGATGAATTTGTGTCTCAGGTGGTAATTTCAAATAATAAGCAACCTTTCCCACCTTATTTATAACTGTAAACGGTCCATAGTAACGAGGGGGCAAGTTTTTCGTTGACACGGTGAGCCAAAGTCTTGCGACGATAGGGGCGCATTTTCAAGTACACCTTGTCTCCAACCGAAAACTCCAGTGCTCTCCTACTCTTGTCAGCCGTGATTTTCATCTGCTGCTGGGCACGGTGTAAATGTACTCTGAGCTCCTCCAAAAGTTTATCCCTTTCGGCTAACTTTTGGTCCAAAGATGATACTATAGTTGACCCTTTCTCAAAACGCAGCAGAGGTGGAGGGTCTCTTCCATACACTATGTGAAAAGGGGTACGTTGTGCTCCCACATGGAATGAGGTATTGTAAGAATACTCCGCCCAAGGTAAGAAGTGATGCCACTCCTTTGGTCGGACTGAAGTAAAGCAACGTAAATATGTTTCCACCCTTCTATTTACCACTTCCGTCTGTCCATCCGTTTGGGGGTGATAGGCTGAGCTATGTCTGAGTTTAATCCCCTGTAGTCGAAATAGCTCACACCAAAACTTGCTCAAGAATACCTTGTCTCGGTCGGAAATGATTGAGTGCTGAATCCCATGAAGTCGAACCACTTCTTTTACAAAGGCAGTTGCCACAGATGGTGCTGTGTAGGGGTGTTTGAGATCAATGAAATGTGCATACTTGCTCAAGCGATCAACTACTACCAAGATTGAATCAAACCCTTCCAACTTTGGTAGTCCTTCTATGAAATCCATAGACACGTCTTCCCATATTTTCTCTGGTATAGGGAGCGGCTGCAACAGCCCGGCAGGAGCCAAGGTGGAGTACTTATGCTGTTGGCAAACTTCACATGCGGCCACATATGCTCTTATGTCTTTTTTCATCCCAATCCAATGGAAAGTTGCTGCCACCCTTTTGAAGGTTTTAAGGAAACCCCCATGTCCCCCAATCTTCCTGTCATGTCCATCTTGTAGAACCACTAAGATAAGTGATGATTCCCGAGGTAAAGTGATTCTGTCTTTGTATAACAAAACTCCCTGAATGAGGGTATAACCTGGACAAGACGATGGATTAGCCTTTATAGCAGTTATAATGCGGCTCAACATCGGATCTTCTTCTGCAGCCTTTATCACTTCCTCTAACTGTAGGCCACAAGAAATGCTAAGGGTCATCAAGGTCGTGGCTACTCCCTTTCTTGAGAGCGCATCTACTGCCCTGTTCTCCAGCCTGGCCTTGTATTCTATAGCCATGTCAAACCCCCAACAACTTCGTGAGCCATTTTTGATATTCTACGTTTACTAAGCTCTGTTCAAGAAGGAATTTGAGACTCTTCTGGTCTGTCCGGACTACAAATTGTCTTCCCAGCAAATAATGCCTCCACTTCTGTACAGCCAACACAATTGCCATGAGTTCCTTTTCATATATTGATTTATTCTGGCTCCTCGGCGGAAGGACTTGACTAAAATAAGCAATGGGTTTCTGATTTTGCATCAGGACAGCCCCTACGCCTTGTCCAGACGCATCCGTCTCAATCACGAACCGTTGTGAAAAATCTGGAAGAGCTAACACCGGAACCCTCACCATTGCCTGCTTTAATTTTGTAAATGCTGCTTCTACAGCTTCATTCCACCCAAAATTATCCTTCTTCAATTGTTGAGTTAATGGCCACGCTATCTTACCATAGGATTCGACAAAGCGTCGGTAGTACCCTATCAACCCTAGGAAGCCTCTTAATTCCTTCAAGTTTTTTGGCCGCAGCCATTCTTTCATTGCCGCCACTTTAGACTCATCCGCCGCTACTCCTTTCCTTGAAATAATATGCCCCAGATACTCTATCTCTTTCTGCCCAAATAAACACTTCTTTTTGTTCGCATAAAGCTGATTTTCCACTAGAATCTGTAGAACCTTACGTAGGTGACCCCTGTGCTCCACCTCAGTTCGGCTATAGACTAGGATGTCATCGAAGAAGACCAACACACATTTCCTGAGCAGCTCTCTGAAGATGGAATTCATCAAGGATTGAAAAGTGGCTGGTGCATTCATCAAACCAAAAGCATGACGAGAAATTCGTAATGGCCTTCATGGGTCCGAAAGGCAATTTTCGGAACATCCTCTGCTCTTACTCGGATTTGATGGTATCCGGACTTAAGGTCAATCTTTGAGAACACCGTCGTCCCATTCAACTCATCCAGCAGCTCATCAATGATCGGGATGGGAAATTTGTCGGGACAGTGGCTTTGTTTAATGCTCGGTAATCCACGCAAAATCTCCAACTTCCATTTTCTTCCTGACCAAAAGCACAGGACTTGAGAACGGACTTGTGCTTCGCTGTATAATTCCTGCTGCCAACATTTCCCGCACCAGCTGTTCAATTTCATTCTGTGGAAGTGCGGGTACCGATAAGGCCTCACATTCACCGGCGCAGCACTGGATTTCAAGATGATTGCATGATCTTGAGCTCTCTTAGGAGGCAGCTGGGTGACATCCTTGAAGACCAATTGAAATTCCTCCAAAATTTCAGTAATAATTGCTACTGGTTGCGGCGGAGTAAGTTTTAAGTCGATGGTAATGGTTCCCAATTCCAGCAAAAGTCCTTCTCCCTGTTCCTTAAAGGCCTTCCACATCGTTTTCAGTGACACAGGAGTCCTGCTGAGGCTGGGGTCCCCCTGCAATGTTATATTCGTCCCAACTACGTCGAAAGACATTGTTAGACTCTTCCAATCCACCTGCGTCCTTCCTAACTTCTGAAGCCACTGCATTCCCAGAATAATATCAGAGTTGCCCAACTCCAGGGGTAAGAAATCTTCCTCTATCAATAGCCCTGGTAGTTTCAAGGACACCCGTCGACAAATGCCTTCCCCTTTCACTGTCATGCCGATTCCCATGATCACTCCGTATCCTGCCGTGCCAGACAGTGGCAATCCCAACTGTTGTACCATGTCAGCTGAAATAAAGTTATGTGATGCCCCAATGTCCACCAGTACTACCACCTCCCACTGTCCAAGCCTTCCCCTCAATTTCATGGTGCCCGGCGCTGTAAGGCCCACCACCGAATTTATTGACAACTCCACTGGCTGTCCCGGGCCCATGGCGTCATTTCCGGCAGAACCCAGGTCTCCGTCAGCCTCAACGTCGCTGGCATCCAGTTCGCCGTTCTACCCAGCTTTCGTTTGCTCATCGCTCCTTCAAACTCGCGAGTCAACAGGACTTGTAACTCTTTATTCCTGCACCGGTGCCCGACTGTGAACCGTTCATCACACTTAAAACACAAACCCTCCTCCCTCCTGATTTGGATCTCTGAATCTGAAAGGCGTTTGAAGGCTGCAAGATTTTTGGGGACAAAATTAGGGCGTTGTGGAAGTAGATTTACTGGGATTGTGTTTTTATTTTGACTGAGTGGGGCTTAGGGCGGGTTGGGGCTATAATAGGGAATACTTTTGGGCTTCGTTGGATCGGGGCCTTGGTGGGTAATTAGGTTCCGGTCCTCAACCATTTGGGCCACCTCCATAATCTGCTCTAGGCCCAAAGGTCTCAGTAATTGGACTTCGGCCCTGATTTCCGCCCTGAGTCCATTAAGAAAGCTGCATTCCATCACCTCCTCTGAGATTCCCAATAATGGCGAGGCTAGAGTTTCAAATCGCCAGCGGTACTCCCTTACCGTCGCAGTTTGCCGGAGAGACAAGAACTGGGCACATAAGGATCCCTCCTGTGAGGGTCGAAATCGCCTGAGCAATTGTGCCTTCAAATCTTCCCACGTTTTCACCGGTCTCCTCCGCTCTTCCCACTGGAACCAGGCCAGTGCCTCGCCGTCGAAACACACCGCCGCGGCTTCCAGCTTCTCCTCCTCAGAGAGTCGATCGATACTGAAGTATCTTTCCACCCTGAACACCCAGCCGTCTGGATCGTTCCCTTCAAATACCGGCATCTCCAATCGCCGTATGCGTGGCTCCCCCCTCCATTCACTACCAGCACTTCCCCCAACGAATTGGTTATTGCTGGGTCGCGATTGTGTTAACCCAGACTCAGCAGACAACGTTGGTGACTTCTCACTGGCTATTCCCTTCTCCTTTCGTTCCTTCTCCTGAGTATCCCATTTCCGCATGAGCATTTCGAACCTTTCTATCATCCCCGCATGCATTAATCTGAATTCTGCTTGTAGTGAACCCAATCCTGCCTAAAGTTCCTGATAATGGTTCTCCACCCTTTGATCCAGTTCTCCCACACGATCTGTCAACGTCATGGTTGTACTGCTCTGATACCAAATTGATAGGTACCTCCCAGAGTGCTATAGACTTTAATGGGAAAAACAAGGAAATCGACTGTGAAAGGAGATTTGTATTAATGGAAAAATTCCAATTACAGAAAGAAAGAAACAGAACCGGATTAAAGATGACCGTTAGAGGTCGTATGACATCCACTCTTACTGAAATATTCTTTTTGCATGCCTATCTCTTCCCAACCCTTTTCTATTTATAGACTACTACTAACCGAATTGCCTCCTCACTCTTTACTCCTAACAGAATTTGTTATTTTGTAATGATTAAAGTTTTTATTGCAACCTGAGAAAAGATTAAACAATACATAAGAGAAATTGTTAAAAAACACTGATTATGAGTAAGTAAGTAGACACTTTTTTTATTCTTGTACAGAGACATATAAAGAAAGGCGAAGCATGAAATCAGACAGGTCTACGAATTGATACTAACAAAATGGAAATATGATCCTAGTGTTTGAAAAAATTATAATTTCAGGTATGAACATCATTTGAAAGATGGTTAGGAAACTCTAGAACAAGATCATGTTGTCTCCTATTATTTGCTTAACTTCTGACCATAGTGACTAAAAAATGAACCATTTGTTTACATAAGATTTGACAAAATTAAAGAGAATCACAACAAATGCTCAGTTATTGAAAGCAATAGTAAAGATATGAGATAATCAAAAGAAAAAGAAGCTGACATGAGGATAAAAAAGAACTAAAATAATTATTCTGCAGGTCCCTAAATATGTATTAAATTAATCATCAAGCAAAAACTAACACCAAATAATGGCACAGAAGTCTGACTAAACTATAGAGGAAAGATAACAAATATAAGTCAGAACCATCAAACAGTCTCGCATAAATAATGACTCCAAAGCAACTACAAATGTAATTGCTCCTAATAATTACAGAGCAGCTTCATAACCAAAGTTTTCAAGCCATTCAACATGAAAACTTTAAGAGCCCATGATTGAATTTCAGAACAGGCAAGGTGAACCCAAAAGTGCCTCTTATAATCCACCAAAGAATTATGGAACCATAGGTATAGAGCCTCTTTAAATATCTCAATCCGACCCTACTTAAGTAGTTGTGCTAACAATAATAAGCAAGAGCACCAAGTCAGTGAGAACAAAAGCCACAAAATGATTCATGGTAAAAACAGAGGGATCGAGCCACTTGACTCTGATCTCATAGCATCAAGTGTCATTCACATAGCATCAAACGTGTAAACATAGTTCATAAAAATTTTCTCTTGCTTCCCAAAAAGAAAATCGGGCAAATAGAAGTGTTTGCATCTCAAAAGGTGAATGGATTTTCAGAGAGCTATGGATTGAGAAACATCGGCAGAAAGAAAATGAAAATGAAAATGATTGCCAAATTGGCTAAATTACTTAAATTCTACCATTACTATGTACATCTACACCAAGGAAGATATAAATTTTATCCAGAAAATGGAATTTATACCTTGTGAAAAGTTTCAAGGGAAAATTTCCTAAATATTCTTAGGCTATGGGTAATCTACAAAGCATTGTTTTCAGTTTACCAGATTTACAATTTTTTTTTGTCATGTTCTTTTCAGATTTTTACTTAAAGAAACAGTTTGCACATAAGGTACAAGATAGCAATGTATACCAGTAGTAGCTGGGCTTGTTTGGAAAGCATAACTTGTCATAACAAATGTTTCATAGCATGAAATCCAAATGCTTTTCAAATTTCATAAATGATAAAACTTGTGATTTGCACCTCTACTAAGGAAGATCCCCATAGTTAACGCAGGTTTCCAATCAGAATTATAAAAGGAAAATTCTCAATTATAATGCATGAGACATGGAATTGTCTTGTCATCCATCTTGTTATGATTTGTCAAATGTCACAAGTAAAAAATTTGTTGTCTGCAAAATCTGTATAGCATATTGGTAATTATTTAACTAAAAATGAAGTTGAGAGAAAGGGGCTGAGAATCATACTGCCCAAGTACGGGTTTTAGAAAGACGCCTTGCAAGTGCATGTATGCAATAACCAACATCTGCTCGAGGTCTTAAAGCTGAAACTGCATCGAAAATTTCTGACAAATAAAGAAGATAAGTCTGCGTACATAAATATTTAGACTCCAGAGGTTAAATTGATTCGGAAAATAACTTTTAAAGGATCTCCATAAAATAAACCGGAAATTGAATTGCACTTTATGGAACCAACAACTAAAAAACGTGACTATTAAGATCTCCAAGAATTAATATTGTATAACCAACAAAACAATGAACGTCAAAGCTTTTAGATTTTGCACATGCCAAAGGCAGAAATTTTAACTCACTTCGTACATGCTTCTCCTTTGGCAATATTTCAATGTGGTTTGTGGCTTTAAGAATGGCAACATCTAATCCGTCAAAAACATAACACTGCATTCAGACTTCTTCAAATCAAGGAAGTAAATGTACCAAGTTTATGGCTTGAATAAGACCTTAAACTCACCGTTGACTTTGGCCATCCCAACCATCGTAGAGTCTTTAAGAGCACCAACAGCTTTTCTAAAATTTTGTTGACAGCTACTTCCAGCTGCCATTTTATTTCAAGGAACCAAACACATTGAATTAGAGAACCTGAAAGAAAATGAGAAAAGGAAAATTAAGTTTACAGATATGCATTAATGTACAAACTTGAGATTCATGCCTCACTAAGTATGTCAAACAGTAACAATTATGTTCATTATTTGCCATAAGCCTCCATTTGAGGCGTGAGTAATCATTGTATCCACTATTTATCTATGAAAAACTCCTTTGCAGAATAGAATTTGTATGCCAAGAGTCTAAAACTTTTATTCAGGAAATTGGCAACCGAATATAATTTATTATTATTTTTTTTTTTGGGAACTTCCATGACTCTGTTCCTACAGTAGTTCCATCATATAGAACAAAATAACCAGAATAACATTAACAGTTTGAGAATTGTCCTGAACATCTATGCACTACTCATAAGCAAATAGTAGAACCCCGAGCTTAAGACTAGTTTGAAAA